TGGCTTTTTGCAACATTCTCGTCAGGCACGGGGACATTGAATCCTACTGACAGATGGAGATTATATAGCCATGTAAATATTTCTGTAAAAATTGGTCGTAACCCTCTCACGCATTTATCTCAAGATGGAGTAATTTTATGTCTGAAAAGAGAATTTGGAACGACGCAAACGAACTAAAAATCACGTACTAGAAATATCCGAAATAATGTTCATGTATACTGATGATGTCCCTCTTCCATCGATGAAAATTGAGATAATCCGGAAATATATGCAAAATCAGAAAACGGTATCAAGAAGTGAGGTAGAGAATTATACAGTACACTGCATATTGAAGAAAAATCTATATAATCCTTGGAAGCTTTTTTGAGTCGATGTTTATGTGTATACCGTATTCAGCATATTGTCATCACGTTCTTCTATAATCTGAAAACACTGTGACGATTCATGCCAGCAATGCCATTTGAATTTAAACCTGTTTGAGATTTTTCAACGAAAACCTTAATTTGAAGGACTCAAAATGTTTCCAGAAAGGCGACTAAATTTTTTTCGACATTTTTATACTATGATGAAATGTCCCCTCACTGAAAATAGTGATTTTGTAGAATAAATTTTTTTCAAAAGACTGGCAGCCAGTTTTTTGTTGGTGCAGTATATCTTTAATTATTTGCACATTATGAGCAAACACTAATGGAAAATATTGCCAATTATCTGCCATAAGATAATTTAATAATTCACTGTATACTTGAACCTCACAAAGTCAAACCTCCCTAAGTCAAATTTTGCTCTGAGTGGAGTTTTTTAAAATCTCCATCTGGGTTCCCTGAGAAAGAATGCATCAAGCACCTCCCCAACTCAAAGGGTTTTCCTCAAAAACCTCCTTAATTCAAGTTTGTGTGGCCCTTTGGCTACTATTTTATTGAATCAGGAAAGAAAAAAATTGGTAAAAATGGAATTTGATGTGTTTCAAAAGGAAGTTACAGTATAAATTGGGCAATGAACTCCTGTCTCCAAATTCAGCACCCTGTCAACTCATTTTAGAAGCAATCAAGGCCCAGATTTAAATCCATGTACAATTTAGTGCAATTCATCACACTGTTTCCCACAATAAAAATCCCTGATCACATAAATAAAATATTTATATGCAGGCAAATCTTGATAACTCAAAACTCTTTAAGTCAAATACCCCCCTAAGTTGAATTTTTTTCAGGTCCTGTCTGAATCCCTTTAGAATTGATATGTTTACAACCTCCCTAAGTCAAAGGCTTTCCCCCTCCAACCTCCATAATTCAAATTTTCTGTGGCCTGTCAGCTTTTATTTTCTTGACACAAGCAAGAAAAAAGCAATGAAAACATGAATTGATTTGTTTTAAAATAAGGTGAGAGACTTAATTGGGCAAATGAACTCTCCCTCCAAGTTCATGATGCTTTCAACTCATTTAAGAAGGAATTTCAGCCTTCAAATATTACAATTTACAATTTTGAGCAATTTTTCTATGTTTCCCAGGACAAAAGGGCTTTTTTATTGTAGTTAATTCAAAAGCTCCCTGACTTGAAACCTCCCTGAGTCTAATTTTTTTGCTGGCCCCTTCAAGTTTGACTTAGAGAGGTTTGACTGTAAATCAAAACCTCTTGAAGTCAAATGTGCTTCCTGGTCTGTTGAAATTTAAAATGAATGGCCATCTGTAAGGTTTTCAAAAATATTTTTCTAAAGGGTGATTGTGCAAAAATAAAAAAGAATTATTTTGAAAATAATAAAACACTGATTTTCTAAAGATCTGGATTTTAAAAATTGCGAAGGATGTATACATGTTATTGTTTTTTGTTTTGTTTATCATGAATTTGATTGAATTTCACAATTTAGAAAAGCTGAATCTCTTTTTGAATGCAGGTTGTGCCCCCTTCCCTCCCAATTTATTTTCTCTTCCCTATAAACAAGACTTTTTTTTCTTTATACCGCGCTGTGACATTGCTTTCAATTTCAATTACAAAACAAAAGAAAGCATAAGTTTATCACGCGTTTTACTTGGAGCCGTTTCCTGATGAACCGACAGTGAAGCTTGAGGGTTTTTACATCTGAAGAAATTGCGCAATTTTGTTCAAATATTCAAACCCATCTTGAAGAAAGCTGGATATCCGTTCCGAAGATGACCTCGACTCATGGCATCACTCACAGATCAGGGAATGAAATCCTGTCATTCTTTCGACAATTCCGGCCAAGGACGAAACCAGACTTCTAGTTATTTTTACGGAATCATGACTGACGAAAGTGGATGAAGATGAAGACGACTTTGGAATTGTTTTGTCAAGAGTCGTGACCAGCAAAACTGTGTGTCCGGCAGTGGGATGGGGACCCGCTGCGAGTGACACCTTTAGCCACGGCCCTGAGGAAACAATTCCACAACGAATGCCAAGGAAAATGTCAGCAAAGAAATTTGCAGTTCTGTTGCTGACACTGATTTTTTTTTATGAGTGATTATTTGAGACAATCGGAAGACAGAAGACTTGAAGCTCAGATACGGCAGCGGAAAAAAAAATGAAGAGGACCGAAATCACACGAAGGTGAATGAAACGCGTTTGTGGGTGTTTCGAATCACTTGGGTACCTTAACAGAAGAGTTTTGGACGCCAGTGAAATTAATCTTGGTTTCAAAAGTAAATTCAATGCTGTATACTGGAGTTTCAATTATTTATCAGTATTTTTCTTTCTCATTATACAATCCATAACAAACAGGGTTTCATGCATTTATAAATAGTGAGGACGTTTTGATGAACATCATCTTGAACAATCTCGCTTCAATATAGAGCCTGAGAACCTTGAAAAAGTTGGTGACAATCATGGTGACATTTTTCGAGACTTCAAATATTGCTGTTTTACTTATTCGTTTTAACCCTGAATTTATTACTAATGAAGATCTCGCAAATTTAGCCTGAGTCTTGTACCTTTGAAGATAAGAGACTTCAATGTGAAGAAAATTGGCCGATTCGACTTGAATAAAATGGACCTGACACAATGAATCAGGTGAACAAATGCTTTACAACTCAACACAACATATGACAAAGCATAATCGAACCACACGGAACCTATCTTAATATTTGATCTTACCTAACGAGTGATACAACCATAATTATCATGCAATTTTTAGCAATAAATATTCAGGAAACATTTGTGGAGCAGAGGAAAAAATTGCAGAAATGGGAACATTCGATTTGTCGCTAAGAGTTATGCGAAATAGGAATTTTTAAAATTATTTTCAGATTAACTGGCGTTCATAGAATGACCGGCGTTTTTGGACGGGTGAGGACTTTCCCGACGTCCCCGGACGCAGTCCCAAAAACAAAGGTCATCATCGGGAACCTGTGGGTCACTTGAAAGTTGTCTCACGGGCCTCGGGTCGTTCCCAATGACGACCCGAACGGCACGTTCAAACTTTCCAGATCCAACTAATTTTCCGACTGCTTCAACAGTGAGTTTACTCTGCAGATGGTGACAGTACATTTTTTCAGGTGGCTGGAATAATAACGTTGTCAGGCCCAACGTTGTCACACTGGATCAATGTTGTCAAGATTTAAACTCCCCACGGAATATCATTGTCAAGAATAACCTCGCCTTTAGAGATTTCATTTTTCTGATAAACTGGAATCAAATTGTCACACAATTTTTCCCCCCCAAAATTGGAACAACATTGTCTGGCAAAACTGGACTTTCCTCATACTTTCAATATGGAATTATCTTGTCCTCCTTCCTACAAGAAGGAACTTGGGGCAGGGTTTAAAAAAATAAAATGTGAGTTGATTACAGGGTGCCAAACATTTGTCAGGAAAGATTAAAACTTAAATTGTTAACTATTAATCCCAGCTATTTATTAAACTATTTATTTATCTTAATTCCTAAAAATGAAATATTTCTCCTAAAATTCTTGTCCCAGGAATCTACTTCATGAATCAAGTATTGTAAGGAAGCAGGGAACAACTTCATTGAGGAGATTGACGAGATAATTCAATTTTTCTTGCAAGGACAATATTCTAGTTCTGGCAGACGACGGATGTTTTAGTTTTTAACAAACGAAAGTTTTCCATTTGAAAATTCAAGAAATTTATCCTATGTTTAAATGATAATTTTTTGACAACATTACGGATTTTTAGCAGTACAATGTTGGACCAGTTGTGCTTAGAGGGAAGATTTTTTTCCACGAGTTAATTCCAGGAGAGGCTTGACAAGAATAATCTGGTTTTGAAATTACCACATTATTCTACCACCCCCATTTTCCCCACTGAATGTTCATGATTTATTTTTTCAGGGATGGTGTGACTTGTGTGCTGGACGTATATAAGAGACGGTGTCGATATGCGAAACTTCGGCAACGTGTGTCTCCAGTAATGCCGATTTGCTGTTAAAAATTCCTGAGGAATTCCTCTCTTTTCGAAGTATCCAGAGAGTGAACGATAAAAAAAA